TCCTCCCCCCTTTCTTCCTCCCTCTCCCCCTTTCTTCCTCCCTCTCCCCCTTTCTTCCTCCCTCTCCCCCTTTCTTCCTCCCTCTCCCCCTTTCTTCCTCCCTCTCCCCCTTTCTTCCTCCCTCTCCCCCTTTCTTCCTCCCTCTCCCCCTTTCTTCCTCCCTCTCCCCCTTTCTTCCTCCCTCTCTCCCCTTTCTTCCTCCCTCTCCCCCTTTCTTCCTCCCTCTCCCCCTTTCTTCCTCCCTCTCCCCCTTTCTTCCTCCCTCTCCCCCTTTCTTCCTCCCTCTCCCCCTTTCTTCCTCCCTCTCCCCCTTTCTTCCTCCCTCTCCCCCTTTCTTCCTCCCTCTCCCCCTTTCTTCCTCCCTCTCCCCCTTTCTTCCTCCCTCTCCCCCTTTCTTCCTCCCTCTCCCCCTTTCTTCCTCCCTCTCCTCTTCCTCCTCCTCCCCCTTTCTTCCTCCCTCTCCTCTTCCTCCTCCTCCCCCTTTCTTCCTCCCTCTCCTCTTCCTCCTCCTCCCCCTTTCTTCCTCCCTCTCCTCTTCCTCCTCCTCCCCCTTTCTTCCTCCCTCCCTCTCCTTCTCCCTCTCTCCCTCCCTCCCACTCTCACCAATACTGTAAATATCAACCTGGTATTTAAAAGAATCCTAACAAATACACTAATTAAAATTCAAGACCAAAATCTGTATGCCCTGATTTCCTTCCCAATCGCTCTTGCATAATCCAGGGGTATCAAGCATACAAATATACATAATCATTTTTTGTTTATTTTCATCCCTGCCCCGTTTGCATAACCTACATGAGCAGTCCATGTATGGGTTTCATGTGCTCCGTGATTATCAGATAAAAAATAACATTTATATTGTTTTGTTTTGTTTTTTTAGATTGTTTACCTTAAAGTGTATTAATAGTTTGTGTATCTCATATATGCATGTATGAGAACCACTGCCCTAGTCTTCCAATTTCACAAAAGGAAAATCTGGCAACTCAACCCGGGCTCTGGAAGCTTCCGATTTGCTAAGTCGCTTTTGAGAATAAAGTAATGTGGTGTTGAAGGAGGTAAATTTGAATAGAAATTAATACAAATATAGCACAAGTTTTACAAATCCAAACACAAGTACTAAGCACAATTATGAAGAGTCAGGTGATCAATATAGAAAAGCGATTTAGTGAATCAGAGGGTTTGTGCTGAGTTGCCAGTTTTTCCTTTCCTGAGATTGGACATAACCATATCGTTTTATCTCCATTTCGGTTTTGATCTTTTCTATTGCTCTTGTACCTATTACCCACATTCGTAGGTATAATAAACCATTATTAGACCTCATTTTCTAACCGCTCAGTTACATAACATAACCGAGTTGTCTTTTCCCTCCCCCCCCCCTCCTCCTCCTCTTCCCGTATACTATTACATAAACTAAAATGAAAATCAGAAGACTGTCAGATTACTGTGGTGCTCCATTTATTTTTATCGACCTTGCCTAACTCGGGAAAATCACTCTACAAAAGCCCGCCCTGCCCTTTCCTTTCTTCTCACGTCGCTTATGGTGTGTGGAAGAGGTATTGTATTTATTTATATGTGATTAATAGACCTACAATCTCAGGCCTCCCCCTCCCCTCCCCCCCACTCATTCTGGTCTGCGTAGTGTGGTTGTGCAGAAGACTTTCTTCATTGTTCATTTTAGTATATGTACTATTTCATGAATATGAACCCAACAAAATAACCCCCCCCCCCCACCCACTGTCCTACATTTCAGGTTAGTGACAGCCCAGTATCACCCCCCCACACACACACACACACACACACTGTCCTACATTTCAGGTTAGCGACAGCCCAATACCACCCCCCCCCCCCTCCTTCACTTCAAGTCTTGCATAATCCATGGATATCAGACCTACACGCGCCCTCCTTCACTTCAGACCTTGGATAATCCTATCCTGCCCGCATGACTCCCCTCTCCCCCTTCATTTCAGATCCTGTACAACCTATGAACTACATCACTGTTCCTCCCATTCCAGACGTGGTCGATCATCTTTGTCTCTATTAGCAGGAAAAAAAATAATTAGATTTATGTACATAATATTTTTTCCTGTCCTTTAATCCACGCGGTGTAAAAAATGTCACCACGTCACTCTTACATAACCCAAGAAAACCCTAAGCACGCCCATCTCGCCCCTCAGGTCGTGTACGGTGTGTGGGTGGGGCGGAAAACCCCCTCCAGCCGGGCGTGGAAGCTGGAGAAGAACGTGCACAGGTCGGACGTCCTGGCGGAGTGCGACAGGTGCGACAGCATGGGCGTGCGAGTCATTCTAACGGTGGGTGGAAGTGAGCGGGTGAGTTGGGTGTGCTCGTGATAAGGTTTTTGTTGTTCTTGTTGATTTGGTTGTCTTTGTTTGCTACATATTTAGGATTTTATTTTCATCTTGCTAGTGTCGTTGTATTTGTTCATTTTTATTTGTTTCTTCTCGATGTCGATTGCCAAATCTGTCTCTGATAATTCTCTCTTAAGACTAGTAAGTATTCGTATGACAAAAAAAATCTAATTGTTCATGTATGCAACAGGAATGCAACTAAGATCAACACTCAGTCCAGTGCACCGAAAACGCAACACAACCTGAACGCAATTCTCTCATAACATTCTACATCACCCAGTTTCCAAAATACAAGATGAATATAATAATCTGTATACACTCTCCATCATCGCAATAATAAACATCCAAATCAACAAGTAAAAACCGTTTTAAAGGAAGGAAAAAAAAGCCTCCTAAATTGATAAACAATCGTGGAGGGGAAATGACAAACACAATATAGAGTTTAACCGACTCGGGGAAGAAAAC